TTGTGTATCATGTAAAAACCCCCCCCCCCCCAAAAAAAAAGTGTCAGGGGTCTCTTAGGCCCAGAGATGAGTAAATATAGTAAGCCAAGAGAATGCGGTTTATTTCCTTGGTCATGGGCACCCACTCATTGGCTTTATGGAAGTGTGAGAAGCTTTTTACTGGCCCTTGTTCACTACAGTAATTAAAATACCACTGTAATTATGTCATCCATACAGAAAGTTATTTCTGTTTCAATTTGAGCACGAACACAATAAAACCAAATGGAGCTAGCATTTCGATTTGATTTCTCATGCTCTGATATAATCCTACAGCTGTGTCATCACACTAGCAAACAAGCAGACAGATAGATGAAGAGGAGAAATCCACATTTAATCACACAGTAGAAGAACTGCTGCTGACTGGTCTCTGTGGTTGTCTACCTGTTGCATTTCTAAGTTGCATTGGTATCAGCAGGTGTTTTCACCCAGATGTTAAAGGCAAACTGCCTGATGTGGCATCACTGACTGGACCACCCTTGCAATTGAATTCCAGATGGCTTTGCAGTTTTATTATAAAGCAATTCTCCAAACCCACTGATAACAGGCAAAGTAACACGTTTACAAAACTACCTACGTATTTCTTGCAACTTACTTTGGGATGTAATGAATTATCACTAATGCAGGCTAACTGTTTACTACTGGGAAGCTAAACCTGGGAATTTCATTGGGGGAGTGCTTGGTAAATGACTTAAATGAACTATAATTTGATATGAGGTTACTGTGATCGCACCATTACAAACTGAGCTACATCTATGAATACATTTCTCTTATCACTCAAAACCATGTAAAAAATCAAACCTTAACTATTACACAGTTCTCTTTCATTAATAGTTATAGTCTCAATAAGAGTTTTTAAACTAATAGCCAGGGCCTGCAGTGCAGCTAGCTAGCTCTGCGGTTCTTGATATGAAAAAGTATGAAATGCCTTAACGTTAGCTCACTGACAGGGCAAGTTAATTGTTTTTGCAGGCTAACTTAGCTGCTTTACCTCGTTGTTAATTAGCACCTCTGCTCTGGGGTCCGTGTGAGAGAGTCTGGGAATGGGCTTGGTTGGGAAAGAATATGTTCGAAGCTGAGATTCGGAGAACGCTGCGCCGCCTTCGGTCGCCGCCGGATCGGCCTCCTCCATAGGCGCCGCTGCCATGGTCGTTGACAAGCGCCGATTGCCTCCGTTCTCCTCAACAAATCAAGCAGAGGTGCGTTTTTGTCCGGACTCTACCCTGCTAGGCTACAATGAGAAGAGGGAATATCGTGCAAGCTTCTCAAAGCTTACAGTTATAAAATTAATCAAGGAATTGTACACAACCCTTCCGTCAGCAACCTCTCTCCACTGATCTACTGTAGATGTTTACACACTGTGATGACAACCAGAAAACAAATGACACGAACTGAAGCAGTCAGGGAAACACTTCCATCATCTTAGATCCAGAATATCGGACAGCGACATCTAGTGTACCGGGAGACTAAATGCTCGTGTGGTAATGGTCTGCCTCTACCACGAGAGGGCCGTATTGTACTTGCTTGTGTTTTTGCAGTTCAGAACATTGATCAAACTGGCAATTAAATTGTCGGTGATAAATTTCAACTCTTTGTAATATCTCATTCTTTACATAGTCTACAGTAAAAGGTTTGAGATCACTGTAAAAAAAAAAGCCTTTTCCTCATCTGAGTGTTTACTTTATATTTCTGCTCTAATACACTTTCTAAGGAAATATTGTAGGCTACCTTTTATCCCACAACATTTATCTGACAGCAATAGGCTTAAAGTAAAATAATAATAATAATAATAATAAAGCATCTGCGTGTCTTATAAAATGTGAGGCATTGTTACACCAGCATCATTCAAATGCAATATCTAGACTTAATATTATAGCAATTAGAAAGTGGCCATTTTACATATTATCTGTGTTTACATTTTGTACATTAATTAGAATTTGTTAGTAGTACTTTTGTGTGTTTACTTTATTTTAGATTTTAAAAGCAGGGATTTAACTGGTACTACACTGTTTTTATACAGTAAATGTAACAAATGAAGAAGCAGAGAAAGTAGTCTAAAGTACAATTTTGAGGCACTTGCACTTTACATGATCTTGATACTTATAACTACTTCTATTCCACAACATTTCAAAGGGAAATATTGAATGTTTTACTCACATAATCGACTGTGCTACGTGTATTTCACATCTATGGTGACAAGTTACTCATCATATCAAGATTTTCATACAAAATATCATGAATTTATACAAATATGATGAATAAAGTTTAAACTCTGCAAGCATAAGTGATGGTCTCACCAGCATGCTGTACACTAGCAAGCATTAATGCAGACTAATGTGGTTCAAGCACAACACAATATGTTTTCTATCAGACAGATTAGGAGGTTTTTCCCTGCTCTCTCTGTCTTTCTTTGCATGAAAGACTGAGCAAATGCTTTAGAAATCTTTTGCTAATATTTAACTATGCTCATCATAGTGTTAGCATTATTGGATCACTGTGTGATCACTCTTCAGGAGACAGTTGATAGCAGTAAACGCTGTACCTTGCACAGTGGACCGATCAGCTGATCTGTTTCAGAAATGCCAGACTGATATTTTGGTGGCACATTTTTAAAGCCACAGACAGCTACAAGTTCAGCTCAAATGTATAAACAAGTGTCCTGGAATTTTTCTAACGCCTGATACATCTTCAGATTTTCACTTGAGTCATGCTTTATCAGCAGATTTGCGCCTGGAGGATTAATTTGTCCTACCCTGTGGGTTCTGATGCTCTATGTTTCCTGTGCAGATCAGTGAGCTGAGCTGATCCCTCTGATGCTACTCTCCTCCCCATTCTTTGTAGATACCTATAACTGGGGGACTGACCACCCCAGTGACCCCCAAGAAGCTGGTGTCTCAATCCTGCTGATAACAACAACACTTGCTTATTTGTGCCATGTTAAGGCAGCTGTAAAGACTGCAAACATTATCTATCACCAGGCGACTTTATTAGTGCTAAGAGAGCGCAGTCTTTTTGGAGATTTTGACCCAAGCACACTGGACTCTTACCCAGAGTGTTATGGTCACTCGTACACGGAAAGGAACGAGCAATAAAGACGGACCCAAATAGCTGACTTCGGTGCAAGCAGTGATGGTTTTATTTACAGTGTAATTTAAAATGCAATAGACAGATAGGTGCTGAATGGTATGGAGTAACTGGGTGTCGATCAGTGGCAGAGAAAAACAGTCAATGGTGAGATGGATGGTTACAGACCGGGCTGCGGACGCTGGGGTCACTCCTGAACTGGTTGTGGTTGAAGCAATGATGGCTGAGGAGACAGGAGCATGCATAGATAGTTAATGGAGACTGTGAGTAGGGCAGAGTAAATGGTCTGGTCTTATACTTGTATAGCGCCTTTTTATGCTTTTACAGCACACTCAAAGCGCTTTCACATTATTCGGCCATTCACCCATTCGCACTCCCAAGCACTCACGCATTCACACACCGGTGACAACTGGGGGTTCAGTGTCTTGCTCAAGGACACCTCAACATGTTGACTGGACAAGCCGGGAATTGAACCACTAATCCTCCGGTTAGGAAATGACCCGCTCTACCTCCTGAGCCACAGCAGCCCCCAGAGTAGATCCAGGGTCCAAAAGAGAGGTCCGATGAAGAAAAAAAAGAGCACAGCCGGAGCATGGGGTAAAACGTATGGGTAGCAAAGACATGAACTAGGAATACTATAAAGAAAACAACGAGCATAGGGGGCCTGACAATAGGGATTGAACTGGCAAGGGAGTGAATGGTGAGCAGGGTATAAATAGGGAGAACGACACGATGCCAGGCCGACCCCTGGCAGGGAGCTCCTCCGATAACAACAACCCAAAACTGAGATGCAGCAGACGGAGAGGAGTCGAACGGATGCTCCGGCGCTTGGTTAGGAGTGGTAGGCTAACCCTCCCGGTTATACTGTTTGCAAATGTCCTGTCTCTGAATAATATATATTCTGTGGACCACACAGAAGGACATACAGGACTGCTCCATGCTGTGTTTTTGTGAAACATGGCTGGGGAAAGAGACTCCCGATGAGGCAATAACTCCGGATGGTTACTTTGACTTCAGACAGGACCGCAGTGCCACAGAAAGTGGCAAGACATGTGCAGGAGGAACGGCCGTCTTCATCAAACAGTCCTGGTGCACAGATTGTAAGATTATCTCCAAATTTGTTCTGAAGATGTGGAATATTTAACACTAAAGCTAAGTCCATTTTACTTGCCCAGGGAACTGCAACGTATCATTGCGAGTGTAGTGTATGTCCCTCCTTCAGCCAGGGAGGAGGCTGCACTCAAGGAGTTGCACAACATTATCAATGAGCATGAAAGCACATATCCTGATGCTGCATATATTATTCTGGGAGATTTGAATCACTGCAATCTCAGGAAAAGCATGCCTAAACTGTAACTGTAACTCTATCAGTTTGCAACCTTTCCTACTAGAGGAAACAAAACACGGATGGTTACTTTGACTTCAGACAGGACCGCAGTGCCACAGAAAGTGGCAAGACATGTGCAGGAGGAACGGCCGTCTTCATCAAACAGTCCTGGTGCACAGATTGTAAGATTATCTCCAAATTTGTTCTGAAGATGTGGAATATTTAACACTAAAGCTAAGTCCATTTTACTTGCCCAGGGAACTGCAACGTATCATTGCGAGTGTAGTGTATGTCCCTCCTTCAGCCAGGGAGGAGGCTGCACTCAAGGAGTTGCACAACATTATCAATGAGCATGAAAGCACATATCCTGATGCTGCATATATTATTCTGGGAGATTTGAATCACTGCAATCTCAGGAAAAGCATGCCTAAACTGTAACTGTAACTCTATCAGTTTGCAACCTTTCCTACTAGAGGAAACAAAACACTGGGCCAATGTTACAGTAACATTAGAAATGCTTTCTCAGCTGAATCTAAGCCTCATTTCGGTAGATCTAACCCCATAGCAATCTAGCTCAAGCTGGTTTACACCAAACGGCTCAAGGCGAAACCAGTCAGAGTGAGAACTGTTAACACTTGGACTGACTGTGCACAGGCCAGCCTGCAGGTCTGTCTAGTGGCCACAGACTGGAACATCTTTTAAAGAGTCCACAGACAATATCCATGAATATGCAGAGACTGTGAGTGACTACATCAGCTGGTGCACATCCATATATGCCCCACCTACAACTGTGGGTGTCTTCCCCAACCAAAAACCCTGGTTTAATAGGGACATAAAACAGAAAATCAAGAAAAGGCAGGAAGCTTTCAAGTCAGGGGACCAAGCGGAGTACAGGAGAGCCTGGTACAAACTACAGAGGTCCATCAGAGTTGCAAAGAAAGCATACTTCCAAAAACTGGAGAGCTATTACATGAATAACAACACGTGCAGCCTGTGGCAGGGAATCCAGGTAGTCACAAACTACAGTAACAAATCAACAAACACAGCCCCCTCAGATGCCACCCTCCCGGACAGCCTTAATAACTTCTATGCTAGGTTTGAAAGGATGAACACAGACACCAATCATAATCCCCCTGTGACCCGGGGGACACTGCTTGTCAGGTGACACACACAGGTCCTGAAGGCCCTGAAACAGGTAAATCCCCAGAAGGCTGCAGAAGCAGATGGTGTGTCCCCTAGAGTGTTGAAAGCCTGTGGGGATCAACTAGCTAGTGTGTATACCGACATCTTCAACCTGTCTTTACTTCAGTTCTTCGCATTTTCAAAAAAATCATTATCATACTGGGCCCTAAGACATCAGACACATCCACTCTGAATGACTTCAGTCCAGTGGCACTCACATTAGTCGCCATGAAGTGCTTAGTGAAACTGGTCCTCACACACATTAACCACATGGTCCCGGACACTGTAGACCCTCTCCAGTTCGCCTACCGCCCCAACAGATCAGTGTACAATGTGGTGGCTCTGGCTTTGTTCCACACCCGGAAACACCTGGACAGCAGCAGTACGTATGCTAGGATGCTCTTCCTGGATTACAGTTCTGCATTCAACACCATTTGCCTGGGCAGGCTGATTGAGAAGATGACAGACCTTGGTATTCTGACTCCCACCTGTAACTGGATTCTGGACTTCCTGACTAAAAGACCACAGGTGGTCAGAATGGGAGGGCGGGTATCTGCTGAGCTCAGCCCCAAACTCTTTACCCTCTACACCCACGACTGTGTCTCCAACAATGACAACACCATCATCATTAAATATGTGGATGACACCACCATCCTGGGCCTCATCATGGGGGGAGACAAGTTGGGTTACAGAAGCTTGGTGAACAACATTCTTGTTTATAGAAAGGAGAATGACCTCAGCCTCAATATAAACAAGACAAAAGAAATAATAATAGACTTCAGGAAGAACCCCTCCCCTCTGCAGAGAGGATCACTGGGACTAAACTCCCTGCTATGAACACACTATACACACAGCACTGTTGTAAAAGAGCAGAGACCATAATCAGAGACTCACTCCACCCAGCTCACACTCTGCTCAGACACAAAAACTGCACCTACAGCCTCAGGCACAGCAGAGTGGACAGTATCATCACACACAGAACAAGACTTTACAATAGCTTTTCCCTGCCACAGTAAGACTGATGGCAAATACAAAAATGTGAGAAACGTGCATTAAATCCCTTATTACCTCACTAAGTGAAATATCATATCCAACTCCACTATGTGAAATATTATGTGCAATATTTGAAGTTCACCATCTCATCTATTATCTATTATATTATTTTTTGTATTGCATTTTTATTTTGAATGCATTTTTATACTATGTCACTCTTACATAACTTTATTTTCAGACTACATGTTATGACTCTAAGAGAGCTGCACAAGAATTCCTGTATGCCTAGACTGTCTGTTTATGCTTAAATAGCAAATAAAAATCTTGAGTCTTGCACTGTTGCTGTCTTCTTCCTAACAGATGGACTGCTGCCAAAACAAAGACTCTCTTGAGGAGCTACTATTGAAGTAAAAAGTGAAGGCATCTGAAAACATATTCAGCTTATAGTTTATGCAGTGATTGCTAACAAATCAACATAACTATACAGCACAGGGAACTCCAGACTTCACTAGGTTTTGTTCCACTTGTCTGTGTTTGCTTTCTCACATTCATGCTGACCCTCGCCCCTCTAGGTTTTGTAGATCCAGAACCTCTAAGCCATAAATCCTATTAGTCAAGGATTCTTTGAAGCATTATAAGTTGTTTCCCATCTTTCATTGACTGCATTACCACTCACTATTCCTAGGACAAATATGGTTCTTTTTTCTATATTATTTAAATGTCTGAGTGGTACAGTATGTTGAAGAGATGCTAAAACTAAGTGAGTAACCATAGAGAAAAACAAACCAAATAAGAATCATTGCACTCTAAACACCAAGTTTAAAGTGGCTAAGTTTCTTCCCAAATACTTATCCTAATTATAATTGTGTATTACCTATAAAATGCTATGAATGAACACTCTGATGTGCCTCTGCTGTGCAACCTAAGGCAGTAAATTGCAGCCCTTCCACAGAGCTGCAGGGCAAAAGCTTGGTATGCTGATTCTTTTGCTGGTGAGATTGTTTTTGCTGCATGCCAGGCAGAATGATCCAACCTGCCCACAGGGGTCATCAGAGGAGGGAGGAGGTTTTATTATGATCATTATTTCGTAAATAAGATGTCAACAAGGTGTTTCCTTGACACTTTATTGAGTAAAAAAAGGAAGGTGCAGAAATGAACGCCCCTTCTCAATGGGACTTCTAATCTCCCCTTTCATGTGCCATCTCATCTGAAGGGTTTCGGCTTCGGCTGCCATGTGCTAGTCTGCCTGGGCCTGGCACTTCTTACTTGCAGGTGGGGTGAGTATCCTGGCAAGCATGTGTTTATAAAACCTACTTGTTTGGGCACAATACTTGAACTAACTTCTTTTGAGTGAACAGTGTGAATCTGTGCAAAGCCTTTTCCCAAAGTCCTTTAGAAGGCGACGGCCCATTGAGAGTAGAGAAGGGATTACCTTCCTAGACAGTGGTGCATTTCCGAGAGAGCTGATTAGCTCTGCATTCATTGTTAAATCGAGCAAAGGAAGGCCCTAGAGGAGTGAAAGGATCCAAATAGGTGGGCCCAGAAAGAAAACAGCCACAGGAAGCGCTACACAGGCAACCCAAAGTTTTCCCAACATTTCTTTCCCCCACTCCCAAGGAGGTGCGGCGTGAAAAAGGAGATTAGCATACAAAATTAGAGGCGGAGTGATTTTTAAGGGCAACTTGCCTCATGCCCTTCACCCCCATGGCCCTACTCTGTCTGGACAAAGTTAATTAAACTAGTATTAAACAGTAAAGAAACTTCCAAGTGCTTAGGAGTTAAGGGGCTCTCTGGGGATTACCATGATAAGGGAGAGAACGGGAGGTATTTGTTGTGGCAAAATTGAGAAAGACATGATGGAAGGAAGAGTACGCTGGAAAGTTTTCTATTCTTGCTGCTTTGGAGCAGAGTATCCTAAACCAAATGTGAACAATGAGGAGAGTATGGCTGTGTTTGCTGCAAACCATCAAGTATTACTGTCACAAAGAAGGATGTGCACTTTCTCCAAGCTATATGATATATGAGATAAAATGATTTATTATTCTTTCATTACATTTTAATAGAAAACAAATCACAAGGGCAACTAACAATAAAACAAAACTATAAAATGCTGTGCAATAAATTAACAATGTACAGTACAAAGTGCTTCATTTTATGTACAATTAAATACATCAAGAGGGAAGCAAAGGCTCGGGGCGAACCATAGGGTGGGACAGCGGGCTGGGACCAAAAATGTCAAGATGTTGCTAAGTGAATTCAAAATGTGGCTGTGATAGTTGGAAATAATAAAGATTCATCTTAGACTGGCTTTCTGTGGCATCAGTGGGAAGATCAAACTGGTGGGTTCTTGAAAACTGTGATTTTAAAAACAGTTTATGACGTCGGTAGCCAGACCACCACTTTTTATGTATGAAAATAAATAAGCCATGTTGTACATCATTTTGAAATCAGAGAAATACTCTTCCAATGCCCAGTGACTTTTTAAAATGTTGTAAAAAGTATAAAAATATACCTTAAATACATTTAGATCCTATAAAGTTGTAAAACCTCCCATTCTCATCTTCTCTATTGTGGCTTTGCACACACTCTTTTTAATTATAATACAAAACTGACAATGAAGATGGTCTGAAAGTATATTTTTTGCTAACTTTTAGTCCAAACCACGCACAGAGAGTCAAGGGAAAGATGAAGAAGATGCTCAGTGTTTCTTCCTCAGTCTGAGGTTTTTCCTGCGGCTGCCAGCGCTCTCATTCTTCCCTCTCTGACTTCCCTTCTTTACGCAAAAGTACTTGGTCACTGTCTTCCTGCACTGCTCACATTTGACTGCACAGCACCAGTGGAATTTACAATTACAGCTTGACACCATCTCAGCTTTGCGCTCCTCCACAGCCAGCCCACACTCCCCACATAACCTCTTGCAGCTCCTTTTCTCCCATTTGCTCAGGTTCTTGCCCTTCTTGAGGCATTCGCGACCCTCTGTGCCAGGCAAGCCCAGAGTGCGGTTTTCCAGGCAGTAATCAGGGGAGTCTTCGAGGTGGACCAGTTCCTTACGAGAGATGGAGCTAAAGGTCTCAGCAATGGCCCCCCGGCTGGCCGCGCTGTTCCCCGCTCCTCGGAGGAGATCCACCTTCAAAGCCCTATGGTATTTCTCCTTCAAGTAGTTCCCCACCTCCCTGAATTCTGGCAGCTGCAGCCAGCAGGTCTGAGTGGTGCAGCTTCCTGACACCCCGTGGCATTTACATGTCCTCTGCATGGTTCCCTTCACAGCCTGGACACATAGGACGGATGTAAAAAGGGAAGACTGCCATTATTAAAATGCATTTACAGTATAGTTTGTTGTGTTGAAGGAGTATTCTTTGCTCCCAGCTTCATATGAAAAATTGTGTCAAACTAAAGAAATTCAAACACAGGATGTCCATTGTCTCTTGATTGCTGTGTTGTCAGATTAACTGATTGCATTCTGAACATTTTCCAGTTAAGTAGAAAGCGGCTGAATACTCTGAAAAGAAGAGATGATAGGTCATGGTCTAGTGCTGAGTTTCTTTATCATCCTCAGTGTTTCCTGACTTTACCAGACACAAAACAGCTGTCAGTTGAAAAGGGACGTTTTCCTTTCGTTGGGAGGGGATGAACTTTCTGTTGAGGTGAGGCTCAATCAAAGTTTCACATTGAGTCCTATTGTCCCCCCAGAAGAAATAGGAGTATTTATTTAGCATGTTCATTATCAACATGTTTTTTAGAGTGAGAAGACCCAATGGAGAGCCCTATTCAACGAAGAAATGAAAAAGGAGTTTTTCTCTCTTTCTATCCCCATTTTTTTCTGTTACAATGATGCTCCAGGTGCCATGGGGATCCTAGGGCCCAACAGGGGGGAGCAAAGGCACCGTAAACAAAGAGCACTTCAGCTGCATGCCTGTGGTCCCCTCACACTCCCTCGAGGCCAAACAAAGACCAACATAAATGTGGGATCCTTATTGCAAGAATAAAACTAAACACTTATTTTAAAAAAAGCAGCATAATACAGAATGCTTTGCAATGTCTGGCTCCCCAGGATCTCTAATTAAGCTTGCACCAGTGATCCTGAGATTCTTGTGTTGAGGTATTGTCATAAGGGGCATTCAGCACTGGTAAATAGGCCTTTCTGGTACACCGAACACACTGTTATTATTGCGGACGAGTGGCACCTCACTTACAGCAAAGTGAATGGGATGCTTGGGTGGCACACTCAGTGTAATTCTGAGCAGGGAAAATGATTCAAAAGGTGCTTTACACTGTGCAATCAGTTGGAGGGCCGAGAGCGATTCCCCATATTTTCAGCCAAGCCGCCACCTAGTTTAAGTACTGTATGGATCAAGTCAAGGCATTCACATCTTATAATTGTACTACTTCTCGTACTAGGGGCCCATCTTGTTGTCAAATTGATGGAGTGAATTAGGAGCACCTACTGTACCTTGCGCCCAGCCTCATTATTGTGGAGATTCATGGCTGCCCGAGCATCCTGACCAGTCTCCAAGGCATCAACAAACTGTTTGGAGATGGCCTCACCAAAGCCAACATTGTCACTGCAGCCGCCCCAGAGCCAACCATGACCACCTGAGAGAATGATACACAGTACATTATATGTGATATTTAACTGCTCTGTCAAAAAGTTCAGATGACCATTTTACATATCAATCTCTGCTGTGGGTATTTACTGTATGTACAGGTTTATAAACCTTTTTTACCTCGTTGTCCATTCATGCTGTAATCACCGCCACAGTTGTCAAAGTCTCCAAGACTGCAGTTTCTGGTTAAAGTGTACATGACTCCCGCGGAGCTGATGGCATGGACAAATGCTGCCTCCCGATTTGCTGTCAACAGAGAGCCCCATGAACAACCTTGCCTCTTCACATATATAACATTGCAATCTCCACCTCTCATTAAGTTCAGTTACCTGCAAAATAAGTCTCAGTTCTCATATTACATATTTAGTCCTACTTTAGAACCAACTGCAAACATGTGACATGATTAGTCAGTTTCCTATGTTTTGTTCAGAGCCTTGAATCCAGTTCTGAATGTATCCATGCTTCTAAACTGTGCCCAAATTAAGATGAGCAGATTTGACTCTTTGTGGATCTTTGTATATTGCCTCCATTAGCTGCAAACAGAGGCAGTGATTCTGGGGAATGTTGTGAAATGGATCAGTTTGACTGGTTTGCCTCTAGTAACTGAGGCCACTGTAACTATTCCAAACAGTGATGAATGCATTGACTAAGCAAATATCTCAATTTCACACAGGAAAAAAATAACTACCCCCCCCTCCGAGGTAATAACACAGACTTGATTCAGATTTGGTTGTGGTGCTAAGGCCGGCTGGTGTGTGGGGCTTGTGGACTTACCACTGCGCAGGCTGCTGTGGGTGGACAGCTGCAGAGCTCTCTCAGGGCAGTTCCAGCGGTCCCATGTGAACTGATACTTACACTCCTCTATGCCACTCTGAGCTCCTGCTGCCACACTGCTGGAGTAGATCAAGTATGCCTGCAGCAGCAGACACAGGGGGACTTATATACACATAAAATAAACAGACACCTCACAGCAATGGCAACATGAGTTGTGAAGAATCTGACATGATTTCATACCAAGCTATGCCCAACTTATACCATGAAAATTAGTGTCGTCTTCTGGGAAGATTTAATTGATGCAAAAGATGATAGTGACTGCACCCTACCTAATAAATCCAACAAGTCATTTTTAAGAGATCACAGAAGCCTGAATCCAGGAAACAGAGTTCAGGCAGATGCTACTAACAGAGTCAGAAATCACAGATCCATGTTTTATTGTTCATCTCGGACATGTCTTTGTCACACAATTTCTTGAGCAGGACAAGCAGATCACCCTGAAATACTTGAAGTTTTAAAACGTGCCACTAGCCTTCTCAAAAATTCTGAGATTATCAATAGGTTTTTAAGACTTATACCAAGCTTGTTGTCAGTTTCAATACAAGACAATCAGATTCAAACTGAGCTCCAACATTATACTTGTTAAACTCTACTGAATACACTGAATTGCAGGGCTTTCTTAAACCAGTGTGCACTGTCCTTGGCTTTCACCTGCCACTCTGCTGCTTGTTCAGACTATGTGAAAGATAACATAACTAATATGTCTCAAGTGGCCTTTGGGGAAATGGAGTGCCACCTCTTTCACAGGGGTCTGGCTCACTAATGATGACCACCCACTACAACAATGCATGCCTTCACCCCTTAACACATTCAACCCATAGATACAGAGCCTCTGAATGAGGTCAAGTGTATGGAGTTGGGGGAACATCCACAAAGGGCCAAGACTATCACTGATATATCATTAGTGCTATTGTTGCATACAACAGGTACCTGTCCATAACACTTGGGTTATGTCACAAGAACAACAGGCCTGTACTGAATAAACAGAGAAACCATGTTTTCTTTCCCTCTCTCTTTTGTGAAAATGGCGAGGAGAAAAGATCAAAAGAAAGTTGGCTTACCTTGGGTCCAGTCATCAAGAAATTATTCACTGACCTGGAAAAGGAGACAGCTTATTCACTTATGAAAGCTCAGTGTCCTCCACAAATTCCTCTGCTAACACCTCTCATTAGTGCACTTGTGTTACATGTTTAACCATGACACCAGTGGGCATCTAAATCTTAGTAGCAGTAGTGCTGAATATAGTAAAACCTTTTTCTTTTTTTTTTTAGAAATGTAAGACGTGAAGCAGCTGAGGGTTGGCACTTAAGTGAATGCTGGGTTGCCAGGTTGTGAAAAACCCCACTGGTTGGTGCTTTATCTTTTTTTGGGGAAATAATGCATATATAAATGTTTTAATCATTAATAAATTGTCTCAGTTTTCTCATTTTCTAGAAAAACCATCAAATTTGCTGTTAATGTGTTACAAATAAATTGTCATTAACCCATCAATTCTGCAGTTTTAGGTATTGATAAGTTGTTAATTAATTTTGATCCATATTTTCCACAACCCTTTGCTAATAAACAATTAGATGGTATAACCTGTCAGAAGGAGTTTTAACAACCTAGCAACCCAAACGTTGGTCTACAACTGACCTACAGAGCATTAGCAAATTATTTATTATTCTATTCTATTCGTATAATGCCAATTTACAACAAATTTACCTCAAGGCACTTTGCATATTAAGGTCTAGACCTTACAGTATTATAGAGAAAATGCCAACAAATCATGCACTCAGCCTTATAAAAATGTTTTTCTAAAAGCAGATGAAATATATATAAATTTGTGCTTATAAATAATTATTGATAACGTTTTGTGTTGCATATACTGGAACTCTTGCCACTGCCATAAAAAGAACTGTTTGGATTACCAGGACACAAAATAAAACTCAAGGTAATTATGACATTTTAAATTAATCAGTTAGACTTACCAGCTGCAGCACGACCTCATGTGAACCAGGAGTATAAAAACGTAATAGAAAACCTCCAAATGCATGAACATCCTGGCAGGTGAGGGGGACTCTGACCCGTCCAAAGCCTGCAGACAGTCTGAAGATGGAAAGGAAACTGAGCTACCAGCGCACGAAACTTCACCAGGGCTTCCGAGATTGGAGAGGGGGCTCTGAAATGGAGCTGCTCTCGTCCCAACAAGAGATTATCTGCTTAATTAAAGATTTTCCCCCTCTTGGCCAATCAAAAGCATTGCACCAAGGAGAGACTGAAATGATCAAAAGGGCACCCTGGGCCTTCAGGGCCGGGCAACGCTAGGTTCCCTGCCTCTATTCATGAGCAAAGGAAGATCTGTTTAATCCTATAGGAAAAGTGTAACGCTGATCCCTTGAATTTCTGGTAGAAAAAAAGTTTATTTAAGATATCCAACACGCAGCTGATTGGGGGGATTAGTGGAGAGTAATCAATTGGATTGATTACTCTCCACTAATCTGTTTGTTGTTGAGGAAATAATTCATGGTTTAACACAGATGACTGAATTAATGTTTATCATCCTGAAACACATCAGACGGAAGACGACAGCGTGATTTGACTAATTTATTTAATTTGGCCGCACATAATATATGACGACACTAAATGTAATATGTGGGGAATAATGAATGTATAATAATTTGTTATTAATTTATTTCTACAATGGGATCAGCTGCGGGATGTCTGAGTGACTGCTTCTCATTGCAGGCTCGGGATTATCATGTATTCCTGTAATGTTGTAAAAATCAAACATTGACTGGAGAATTTAAGAGCCAAAACGTCATTGATCGGGTATAGGGCATTTCCATCAGTAATCCACACGGTCCCTACCAAACACTGGGAAAAGGGTTATTGCGCAATAACCCCGTCTGACCCTTAGGTCTCTTTCCTTTGGCGCAGGCAGCTCTTTAGCAACCTTCTTGTGTGCAAATTAGGATTAGAGAAAAGGTGATTTTGGAGTGGGGGTAACTTCTGAGGGATGTTTTCTGGATTAAGATTTAAAGAGAATTGACAAGTAAGACGAGCAGGACCCAACTGTTTTAGCCTTTTTAACACATGACATTTCCCCCACAGAAAGCATCACCAACAGCGCGCAGCTTGGGCTATATTTTACTGAAATAAGTCATTTTCAGTAATTAAACAGCTGCACCTCTAGCTTTTACACAAATTGAATTGCCTGCCCTGTGCGTAATGGAATATGTCTAATTGTACATAGAAATTGAAAATGTACGTCCCAAATGTAGAGGTTATGCGTGTTTTCCAAGCGTGGAGTTCGTCATTTATCTGAATCTTTTCAGTTATGATAGAAGCTAGCAGCAGCAGCACAGTCTTTGTTAAGATGCCGAGGCTGCACATGAGTGAATGTGCCAAGTCAATTGTCTGACCGACCAGAGAGAAGTGACTGGCAGTGTGATCACACCGCGGTGTTGCATGTGGTGGAGATGATGGCCTGACGGTCAGCAGCCAATAGACCAAGG